TTTGGATATTTAAGAAGTCTGTGAACTCTTGGTAGCTGAGCAGCCGAAACCCATAGTTAAAGCAGCGGTAGGTCACTCGCTGCCGAGAAAATGACCGAAACGTCAGTGGATCCCGTGGACCAGTTGCGAAAAATGTGGGACGAGTTGTCTTGTCAGTCTGTTTTGCACACTCGTTAAAACGCTATAGAAACTGGGTACGAATAGAGTTTTACGAGCCTTCCATGTCCATGTGTTTGAAGCTGCAGACGATTCTAGCAGAGAACGCGCGACAAAATGGAAAACTCGTCCGCGACATGGTGGACGAGTCTTCTGGAGCGACTTTATTGGTCATGAATAACTTCCGAGCCGAGAAATCTGAATCTAAACCCTTTTCTGAGTTCGTCTTTCAGAATCCATCAAAAACTCAGAAAGCGTTCATAACGTGGGTGCTGCTTTCAAAATTCTTTGCAATGTCACTTCTTGAGAAGCCGATCTAGTAGCCTTTGTTTCTCTATCTCCTCTCCAACAATACAAGAGCAGTGTTGATGGACCACCTCTTTTATGAAAACCTGAACCGAAGAACTGCTATTTTTAAGAGAGAAAAACTGCTTAGAACCTTCAAAAAATGACGTAAATGAGCGGATTTGAGCAAAGTTATTTATACAAGGTCGAATAATCCTACTTTTAGAGTAAAGGGGAAGCCATATGTATATTGTGAGGGTTCAAGAATTAGAGCATTGTCACAATCGACTACATTTCTTTTGGGACAACCTGACACTTTCGCGTACCAGAAGGTTTTACTCAACAAGAAAAGTACCATGCTTTAGAGTTTGAAAGTCTGGCTAATAGTCGGAAAGCCCTTTTTAAATTTAAAACTTTATTCCCAGCTAACACATGCTATGGTTGCGAGCGCATGAAAAATATAAGCTAGTATTATTTTTGCCTGAAGGTTGGATTAGTAAGAGCTTCAGGGCATTTTGTTAAAGCGTTCTATGCAATGGCGTATTCCACTTGCTCGAATTGTTTAATTCTATTTACTAACATTTCGTACTGCATAGATATTATAACACAATGTAATTAGTAAAATAGGGTATACGATGTGTTTAACACTTTGCTGTGGAGAAGGTTTCTTTAGCACCACTCCAGTTTATGCAGGTTTTAGAAATCTATTTTTTCAATTCATTCCGTAGGTGCAAGTTTTCTGTCTCAATGACTACAAAAGCAAATCTATTTTGTACTGTAATCCCATTTTAATAGGACTGCGACAGAACTGCAGGAGCATACAAAAATCTCAGGGTCTTAAGACCTCAAACAAGTTTAGTGAAGTTGTCTGGGATGTCAGTGAAGAAACCGTATCCCTTCTGACGCTAGAAAGTGAATGTAGTGTTTTGGTAAAGAAATGCACACGCAATACGGCAAATCGTTGTATACAATTGAGAGGGTATTCCTACTCCGCGTTCCGATTACACTACAACCCAAGTTTTTTGGTAATTTTGAGATTTTGGTCACCTATACCACCTACCACAAACCTACCGTAATCTACAAAAATGTTATTAGAACACAGACTGTGCAGACAAACTTTACATAATCGGCAGCCCAGACAAGCTTGTGAACGAAGCTTCAACTGAAAATAAAGTTTTGACAACTTTCGCCTACGTAAACTGAAGTAGTGCAATTTTTAGGTGGAAATCGGAAAGAGAAAAATATTTCTACAGGGTTCAGTAGCTCATTTCAAGCAGGTCAAGGCAGGACTTGGTAAATAGCTTTCGATGCAATCGTAAAACGCCTCCCTACCGAAAAGATCTTCATTATTTTTAAATATGCCTTGATCGCATAAGGGCCTACTACTACTGTTTCAATCATGTTTGGCTGGCTTTCGAGGATAAAGCTTTCAAAAACACCTCGCCGCTGATTGTAACACATAAAATCTTCAGCAAAAAATGTCCATGGGCGATTAGGTAAGAAAGTTGAGGTTATATGATTACAATTCAGCGATATGCAGTTATATAGTATAAAAAACTGGCTTGACCACTAAAAGGAGACGCGACGGAGCTGTGTATTTATAAGCCTTAAAGACATCAGACACTCAGCACTAGCACCACAGAATTCAGCAGAACTGAAGCTGTATCAGGCGGAAGAGTCGTGACGAATTCAAATAAGCGAAACACTTGTAATCTGAGCTGAGCTGCCGAATCGGTTTGCGTATGAGTGCGGTAAGACGGATATTTTGGCCACGCGCCGGT